AGAAATGCTCCATATAGTTTCCAGGACTATAAAGATTTACGAGAGGAAACACCCTCACCTTTCTCCTGTCTAGAACTGATTAGTTTGAACCACACCAACTTAACCCACTAGGCCACCGGAACTGCTCAATGTACACAAGTAATATAAAATAGCTCAGGGACATTCAAACAGCCCAGCTAAGTAGAGTTAAGGAAAACTGCGAGACTCATTCAGGGTTGGAATCCCTGTTCTAAGACTCCTAATTGTATAGCTCTGGGTAAAATGACCTAAGCCTTCTAAAACTTGTGTCTCAATGTAGTTGCTGTCACCTTCTCAAAAGACGACTTTCGATAATGATCACATACCATCTGTATGTGTTGTTCAGTGCTGTCTTGTCAATTTCAACACATAGCAACCCTGTATTATAGGGCTTCCGAGGAGCGCTTGGTGTGTCTTCACTGCAGACCTTGCAATTCAAACCGTCCTTGGAGCCCAGTGCTTATCCTACAGCACACACCAAGACTCCATCTGTGTTTGTTGTTGTTAACTACCTTCGAGTTAGATCCAACTCATAGTGACTCTGTACAGGGTTTCTGAGGAGCAGCTGGTGAGCTAGCACTGCTGGCCTTGTGGTTCAAACCGACTTTGCAGTCCGGCGCATTAACCTGCAGCGCCACACCAGGACTCTCCACCTGTAGTGGAGGTGCTAAATGTAACTTCCTTCACTTTAAAAAAATTCAGCTCTATCTACAACTTTTTTAAATATATAAGTTTATCCAGGATGGTTTTCTAATAAAATTTAAATCATTTGTCAATATGGAGCTAGAATGAATAGTAAACGAAAACAAAAGTCATCTAGAGAATAAAGAATGAGAACATGGACCACATGTCCCCACATTAAAATCCTAGAATCTATTTTTAGTGCTTATGCTTAACGTTGTTCTAAGCCTTAGTCCTTGAAGTAAAAAAGAAAAAAAAGTGTTGTAAGAAACCATGATAAAAAAAAAAATGTATTCTATTTCATTAATATTAATGTTAGCATAAGTTAAACTAAAATCAAAAGACATTTAGCATAGAAATACTAAAATGTATTAATTCCAGAGAAATAAATATGTTGCGTTAGCAATTATGTTATAAATTTTTAAATGATTCCAATATTACTATGGAACTACTTAATTCTATAAATTTCAGTGAAAAAAGTAGACAATATATAATTTTATTAATAAATAATGTGAAAGCATCAGTGATAACTATTATAACATTAAATTCTTTTAAACATCTTGGCTTTAATATTGTGTACACTGGCCTCTCTGGCACAATAAAGACATGAAAATATCCCCATTTCCATGCACAAGTTTTCAGCTATTACACCGTTTACATATTAGTATAGACAAGATAACCCTTTGCAATCATTTATATTAATTTGGACAGCCACAATTAAATGAACATTGAATTACGCTATGTTCAATGTCTCAAATAGGTGGTAATGTGCAATGTTATTTAAAACTTAACTTCTTTCTTTTCTTTAAAGGGGCATCTTCTGTATATGTAGGTGCTCAACTGAAAGTTGGGAATGCGTTATTTGACCATAACACAAAGTTCACACACAAGAGCACGTTTGCCTCTCTCTTCTAAGAGAAGCAAATCATTTGTACATCATCTTTCCAGGCATCGCTTCTTTTATCATTAATGAAAATGCTTACAGGCCACAACCCCAAAATTCTGTCTTCAAGGGAAAGTTACAAAGTTTTAAAAAAGAGCAGTTTGTTGTCTACATATATATATATATAAATTAAATTCCAGCAACACTAATGCTAAAAGTGACATTAAATTTCTTTAGCATCCACAAAGTATAGTATTTCCATGAGTTTGCAAATTTATTTTCCTTTAAGAAGTAAAATGAAGTTTGAACAGCACAGTCTGTGGTGTTGTGATATCAGCAACTGCCAGTTCTTGTCCATCAGTGAGTCCCAACTCTACAAACAGAAAAACCTAATTAATCCAAGCAGAAATCACAACTAAACAGTCAAAACTACACACACACCACAGAATTTAGACAAACATAAAAATTTAGATGTCTTCAATCAAGGTAATACATTTGATTTCTTACAGATTTTAAAATATTCAGAATACCAAAGGCAATTAATCCTATTATTAACATCTTTAAAATACACTGGTAATTATGATCATACTATCATTTAAAGACATTATTAAGACCAAATCTTCTAGAATGAACATATCTTAATTTCACCTTCATGCCCATTACCACCCTACTGGTAAATACATGTATTTAAAATACCTTTCAATGTCTTGGAGAGATTTGGCCTTGTTCGTTCTTCAATAGAAGTTACTGACTAGAAAACACAATTATTGTAATGCACATTAAAGTGAAGTTATGCTTTTCATACAATTTAATGGAAAAAAAAAAAAAAAACATTCAATACTGATACCTGTAAGTAAAGTGTTCTATTTTTCCCCTCTAATGTGGCTGTGATGGCTGGAGATTTCATTTGCCTAAATGTAATTTTTTTAAAAGTACCAAAGGTCATTTTTGAAAACAACAATTCTAAGTTTTTAAGTTTTAAAATCTCAAAAATTATGTTTACAATAAAACATAATAGAATCAGAACACTTACAAAGAAGCACTATTAGTTAGATAATCCAAAACCTCCTGCAGTTTAGCTGATGGTGAAAACTGAATATTCTGAGGAAGCTGGCTACAAGCTGGGCAGTTGTCCTATATTCATGAAACAACACAACAAATCACAGTGGCACACACACTAACACTTATCGCTTTGAAAACAACAAGATGGAAATTAAATTGTTTTATAATCACACCTATTTCACATGAACCGTTTCTTATGCTTTAAAATCTGCTTTCATAATATACCAATGTTTCTTATTTTACTATACAGTATTTCAATTTCAGGCTATATCAAAAAAGATATATAGTAAGTACAGTTCAAAAGTTAGAAAGTACAATACGTGGGCTATTTGGTTCAAACTTCTAGCCAATAATTAGCATTTAAAAACCAAAGTATGCATAAATAAAAAATGGTTCATTAATACTACTAACCTTTCTCTCTGCTTCAAATGTGTATGTATACAGCCCATCTACATCATTGAATACCAAGTAATTATTAAGGGGAATGTATGCACTGCAATGAAAAAAATAGTCGTCTTTATATCATTCAGTCCATTTAAAACATGGATTGATAGATATGCAAAAAATAAAACCCATTACCTTGTTGCTATTTTAAAAACCTCAGTGGCACATACAGCTGAAGAGAGAAGAAAACCAAAGTACTTTAAATCGATGAAAATTATACACTCAAAATCAGCAGTTTTGAACACAGGCGTATTTCGCTTTATTGCACAACTCAGATAATGCATATTCGTTTACAAACTGAAGGTTTACGGCAACTCTGCAGTGATTAAGTGTATCTGTGCTAATTTTCCAACAACACGTGCTTACTGGGTGTCTGTGTGTGACATTTTAGTAATTCTCACATGATTTCAAACTTTTTCATAACGCTATTGCACGTAATAGACTACCATATAGTGTAGACAGAGCTTTTATATGTACTGGAAAACTAAGAGTCATCTGAGTTGTTTTATTGCCGTATTTGCTTCGTGGATGCTACCTAAAACCAAACCTGTGGCTGCAGAAAAGCCAAGCTAGTGTACAGAAACTGAATGAGAAACAAAAGGAACAAAATCAGTACAATTAAGTGCTAGTGTTTTTCCTCACCTGCAATAACTGCATTTGTGGAAGCTACTGCAGGAATGATTCGTTTCACAACCCCTGAAAAATATTAAAATATGGTCATTTAAAATAAAATTAAAAAGTGCTTTAACACACACAGAGTAGATTCCAGCTCAGTAACCCTAAAGGACACAGAAGAACTGTCCCGTAGGGTTTTGAAGACTGTCACCTTTACAGGAATAGACTGCCTCATTTTTCTCAAAGAGCACATGGTGGGTTTGAACTACTGACCTTTTGGTTACTAGTCAAGACCTTAACTAATGCGCTACCAGGATTCCTATTTTAGCATCTAATTATTAAATATCTTTATCGTGATCTTGAATTTTCAAGCTTTCAAGTTGAAGAATAAGGCAAATGAGATTAAAAGAAATTAAGTAATTTATCCACACTTACACAGTAAGTTGGTGGATGGTATTTGAGCCCAAATATGCCCCCAAACACATATACTTAAATGGCAGTGTACTACACAATGCTCAGTAAAGTTTGTGCCAAGTATAAAGAAGACAAATTAATAGTGTCAGCCACATGAGACATAAAAGTTTACCGAAAAATGAAAAACCACCTTTATTGTTGTACTCTATAACCTGGGCTATAGAGACTGTTAAATACAGTTCTCTGATTCTACCCTACTTTTTCACATCAATATTCACCTATTAGGGGATTAATGGCCTATGCTAACCACAGGCTCCACGGCCCACAGACCAGCTACACCTAGCAACCACGCTGAAAGGAATCACATAAAAGCTCCCGCATAGAGGGGGAGAGGAGGTGGAACAAATCTCGAACTCATAAAGTTCAGAGACTGACCGCACTCACACAGACTACGGCTTATGCTTCAAGCCCAAAACAGAACTCACCCTCATGGTTCAATTTTCAGCTACGCAACAGAAGACAAGTCTATAAAATGGACACTAACACTAGGAAGTAAGCACTCCCCTTAGAACAAGCAACCCACAGGCCAAGTTCAGCAGGCAGAGAGTTAGGAGAGGAGGAGAAATGTGAACAGGGAAGAAGGAGGATGAGTAATATGACATTACAGGGTTTGCAATCCATGACAGAATACAAAAGAAGCATGAAATGTGCACTGGAAAACCTGCACTCAATTCACAAAAATCTCAAAGAAATTAAAAGTTCACTATTGCAGATGAAGAAAATCACACCTTAAACAATATTTTAAGTATTAAATACCTCCATTTTAAAGCAATGTTTAAATTATTCATTTTAGAAAACAAAACCTTCAAAGAAAACAGTCCAATTATCTTGGAGTGCGTGAATGAGCAATGAAAGACATATCGCAAACATTTTGCACAGGCTGGCTAGCTGTGTGCCCTTGAGTTGGTTCCAATGCACCATGACCCTGTTAGGGAGTTTCCGAACCTGTAAATCTCACCTTTCTTCTGAGAAGTGTCTGGTGGACTTGAACTGCTAACCTTACAGTTAGCAACCCAACATGTAACCTATATTGCAAAAACTTCAGCAACAGGAAAGCATGAAAAGGAGACCGTTAAGCAGGTTGGAAAGTGTTTTTAACAGGTCGCTTCTGGCCATCTGATTTTGTGCTATCTCAGAGAAGGGCACACAGGTGAGCTCCTTTTCGATGGCTACACTGGAAGTTCCCTAGTGAACTATAAATAGTAGGAAGCGCTGAAAGAAAGAAAGAAAGGGAAATCACAAGCAATGAATATTAGAGACACTGTCAAAATGCTAAAGAGAACTTCTCCTTCCAAAGCTAGACATGGACAGGAAGGAGACTTTTTATTATACTAAGAACAAAGAAAATAATCACACGATGGAGAAAGCCCACTGGCAAGTCTACTTCACTCCCAAGTTAGCTTGTGTACTCCCTCTCCTAGGATCTTTGATCATCAAGCTGAAAAGAACACATCAAACCCTAATAGTGAAAGGATGAATGAGACTTCATATTATAAAGAATTTACACTTCCTGATCAGGAGTTGAATTCATTTATTAATTTCAACAATTACCAAGTGTCTACTGTACGCAAATCCTATTCCAGGTGTTGTACATAATAACATCAAGAAAATATTTGCTCTTATGGAGCTTTCATCCTGACTGGGGAACAACACACAAGTTCATGGGAAATTTTTGGATATTAAAGAAAATTTCAAAAGGTTCTATTAGAGTAAGGATAGTACATTAAACAGGATGGTCAGAAAAGACCTTCTTCAGGAGTTAAATGTGAGCAGACACATGAAAACCAGCCAGCCACACGATTACCTACAGAAAGAGCATTTCTAAAGTGTCAACAGCAAAGGAAGGCAACATGTCAGGCATGTATTAAAGAGGAGGTGGGAAATATTCTTTACACAGAAAAGAGAGGCTACTGTTAGAATTAAGAGTTCTGGTGTGGCACTATAGGGTAAGCACTTGGTCTCGAGGTCAGTTGGAACTGCAAGATCGGCGGTTCAAGCTCACCAGTCACTCCTCAGAAATCCTATACAGGGTCACTATGAGTTGGAATCAACTCAACTGCACTTAACATTGTTAGAATTTGAAAACTATAAATGCAAAATAGGCCGGGGGAGGTAAGCTAGTGACTGGCTTCACCATTTTTCTGTCAGTTTGTCATACTATGATGGCTAGTGCGTTGCTGAGGTGCTGGAAGATATGCTCCCAGTACTGTAGATACCATGTCATCCATGGTGGGCAGGGTTCAGCAGGGCTTCCACTGAGACAGACTAGGAAGGAACGGTGGACCACTTCTGAATAGTTAGCCAATGAATGCCTTATTAGTATAGAACACTGATTTAGTGTCTGAAGATGAATCCCCTTAGGTTGGAAAGGACTCAAAATACAACTGGGGTAAAGCTGCCTCCTCAAAGTAGAGCTGAATTTAATAACATGAATGGAGCAAAGCTTTTGGAACCTACATATTTGCTGTTGGGGCATACCTGATAATAAGAGGAAACAAGTGCAAACATCCAATAGTAATCAGAACATGAAATGTATGAATTATGAACCTAAGAAAATTAGAAATTGTGAAAACCAAAATGGAGTATGTAAGAATCAGTATTCTAGGCATTAATGAGTTGAAATGGACTGGTATTGGCCATTATGAACCAGAGAATCACATGGTTTACTATTTCATCAACGACAAATTACAAAATGTAGTCACATTCATAGTTAAAAAGAGCACTTGAAGATCTGCCTGGAAGTACAATGCTGTCTGTGAGAGGAGAGTATCCACAGACCTATAAAGATCTACCTGGAA